GGCAAAGCCCTTGCCCAGCCGCTCCCACCCTCTGCTTGCCCCAGGGCCGGGTCCCGCTGCACAGACCCCAGAGGCACCTGCCTTTTCTACCCAAAACACCCTGCTCCCCGTCTCCTAGAACTGGCGTGGGCTTTGGGGGCAGCTGCTCTCTGCTTGGGAAAGGCATCCGAAGCGATGTGCCTGGTTTTGAATCAGACGTGAAGCAGGCTTCTGCGGCTGGGCTGGGACCAGTCTGTGTGGGACGGAGACGCCACAGAAGGGTGCCAGCTCCAGAGTCGCCACGCTCACCACCCGGCCGTCCACCTTGGCAGCACAAGCAAGCCTTCGCCTCCCCTCCTGTGTCTCTTGGCGGGTTGCAGCTTCTCTGCCTGATCCTGCATGCTCCTGGCCCCCGAAGGAGACCACGGCCTGCTGCTGGAGGGACGTCCGATGGCAGCATGACCCCACGGGAGCCGGGGCCGCCTCGGTCGGCATCGATGGGCGGTGGTACGGGGAGGTGGAGAGGGATCCAGCGCGCTCAGCCTGCTGGGCTCCCGGCGGTCCTGCCACGGCCTTGGATAAGCACAGCTCGGTCGCAAGCCGGAGCACTTGGGGATCTCAGCTACCCGGGCGCACAATCCGAGGCTCCACTCGCACTCTCCCAATTACTGCCTGCAGCCGCGCTACAAGATTAAAACCCCAGTCAAAAGCAAAGCGAGATAAACAACACAGAAATTGTAAACGAGCTGAATTAAGGAAACTGCCGCTGACTAGCATGCAACTGCAAGAGCACCTTACGTTGTGCCATAGTATCGGCGATCTTCAACCCATGCCTTTGCCTGATGGCAACAGCCAGCTTCAAAAGCGGTGATGCGGCGTGTGCCTGGATTTGCCTGCAGGGCACGGGTGGAAGACTTGGGCTGGGAACCCAGCGTTGCGCACCGCCTTTCAACAAAAGGCCAGTGGCACCCTTCCGACTGTTAGGCAAAAGGAACTTGCGCTCCGTCCCATACTTGGTTGGAGACTGTCGTGGTGAAGGAAAGTAATGACTGGTCAGTGGTGCGATATCCTGTATTTATTCTACAATTCAGCAAGTAACAGTAATTTTGCTGTTGTGAAAACACAATAAGCAGACTGCAGAGAGAAGGAACGGCATTACAGACTTAAACCTTCTCCTTACAGATACCCAGGACATACGAAGTAAGTTTCAATTACTGAGTAAGCAAGAAGTGACACAAAGAGGCTTTTCTTTAATGCGTCTCAGGTTTTCTTTGCTGTTTTTCCTGGCTTTAATACTGTGATGCTAACACCTTTATTAAAAAAAAAAAAAAAAAAAAAAAAGTTTTTTCCCCGATTTTTAACAGGGCCCCCCGGG